GAGCACGACTGAGCGGGCTCCACCAACTCTACATTAAGGAATCTGACTTGATAACCTGGTTAAACTTAGCTCCGTTCTTAATGTTGATCATTAATAGTGTTATGTGGTGTAAAGAGCAGTCAACCAGAAAACAAGATAATGAGATCTCACACTACCACTAATTAGCCTGAAAACTTCCAGAAAATTCTTTAAGTTCTTTCTTCACTCATCAAATGAGAGAGCTGATTCTGGGGCTGATTCTGGCTTTAATGGTCTATGATTCACAAAGATGATGTTGAAATACATTCAGTTTTGTTCAAGCACTGCCATGGGTTTCTTGGGCACAAAAAAGGGAGAGAGGTAACATTAATATATGAACATTCATCACCTGACTGGGTATTGTTATAGCGACAGTTATACATTTATAAGAAGATGGAAGATACAGTTACAAAAGGAATACCATGTATTATTTCAGTAAATGATATGAATCTAACTATAGCAACCACTTAAGAACTTTTTTTTTTGCCTCAGATATATAAAAGTTACAAGAGAACTAGAAGGCCTATTTATGATAACATGATATTACAAAACAAAGACTGTATGTTGCAATTTTCCTACCTGCCCTGATTAAAAGAGGGGAATTATTACTTTACTATGTCTTCAAAAGCTTCTGTGGTTTACTGATTTTCTTTTTTTTTTTTTTTGATTTACTGATTTTCAAAAGGGTAATATTCCCATGCTTAGTAATTCCATTATCAAATTATTTGCTAAATAATTTTTTGTTATTTGTTATTTGTTAAATATTTATTTGTTATTTGCTAAATCAAAGGGATTACTTGCTATCCTCCTGATCTTAATTCTTAGATGTCTGCAAGCTAAAGATTTAGGGAAAAAATTACTTCATTCATTTAAGCATTATTATTGAAAGGAAAACTTAAGATGTGGAGTCCATTATGTAGCTAGTTTTTAGGAAAAAACAAAGCAAAAAAGTAAAAATGATTTTACCACCCTCTAAGAAAATTGCTGGTTGAGTTTAGCCAACTTACTACTGACTAAATCAATATACACAGTTTTTTTGTGTATATTTTCCAAATATACAAAATGTATACCATATTTTGTGGAAAAGACCAATATAAGAATAATTTGGGGGCTTCCCAGATGGCTCAGTGGTAAAGAATCCATAGGGAGATGCAGGAGAGGTGAGTTAAATCCCTGGGTTGGGAAGATCCCTGGAGAAGGAAATGGCAGCCTACTCCAGTACTCTTGCCTGGGAAATCCTGTGGACAGAGGAGCCTGGTGGGCTACAGTTCATGGGGTTGCAAAGAGTCAGACACAACTGAGCACACACACACACACATACTCACAAGAATAATTTAAACATAAGGATATTTGATTTTCAAATCATAAAGCATAATAAGTTGCAGAGAAATACTTTTAAATACTTACCTAATAATCTTCCCTTCTTTCCTAGGAATCACTCCTTTCTCCCCAGCCCAGATTCTTCAGGAAAATATATATATTGTTTAACACAGTAAGCTTTGTGATAGTTTGTATGCAGGAATAGATGACTGAGATACTGACTAAAATTCAGCTTTTGTTTTGATATTGCCTTAATTCTTGCCTTTCCCCCACTCCCTCCCCACCAATATAACTCAAAGATAAATCCTAATTTGTTATCAGTGATGATTATCCCATCTCCTTTGCTAGTGAAATTGTAGAGAGAGGCATGGGGTCCTGTTCTGGCCAAATAAATAGGAGGAAAGATCTTCTGAGGGGTCTTCTGTTATAACTGACTCCTTTGTAAGAAGAAATTTAAAGTAAGACTAGTCATTTTTTTGGGCTGAACTTTACCATGTTTTCAAGTGATGCCTGGAACTATGGCAGCCACTTTGGGACCCTGAGGAGAACTACCTAAGGACAAGGTCAGTAAGCTGAAGATGGAGTAGTGGAAAGATGAGAACCATCTGGGTCCTTGACAATATTAAACATGAATTAATTAACCTCAGCACCTGCTATCTTGAGAAATACTACAGGAAACACTACATTTTGTTTGCTGTTTAATCTAGTAGAGACAGGTTTTCTATTACCTGTATCAAAGTTATTTTAACACAAACAAGGTGAAAGAAGCTTTAATGCCTTTATGAGAACAGCTCATCCTTAAACTGGGAATGAGCTTTATTATACCGTCTGCTATAATATTTATAACCCATTTTACTTGTTATGTTGAAGTCCTCTGCTATTTGGACACTGGAATTATTTCTAGAATACTGGGTATCAATAAACACAAAACATGTTACATTTACTGAGAACAAACAATAGACAACTGAGTATTTTGTGCCGTTAAATGCAAGGAATGGGAAAGGCTTCTTGCAAAAAAGTGGTATTTAATCTGTACTTGGAAAAGTTGGAGATGAGGTTCAAGGGCATTCTAGAGAATGTGGATACCCTACCTACTGAAGTACTATGTCATGGGAGAAGAAGTGCACCAGGATGACTTAGGGGTATCTACTAACCCTATCTACCACTGTAGATAATAAGGCTGGAGCTGGTTATGTGTACACTGTGAATTGTCTTGAATATCTTGTTAAGGAGTTTGGGCTTCCTTTCCTTGATGGTGGGAAACATCAGAGGGTTGAGCTGGTTACCACTTACTGATTCCGGGTGAATTGTTAAAGTATATAGTATATATTATAGTATATATATAGGTTTTTTTGAATATTTTAATGGAAAGTGTGCATGACTTTAATGAAAGAAAGAAAATTTCCATTCTAATTTGATTCTATATTTTAAAGCAAATGCCAAGGGAACCAAGTAAGTGACTGGTTAAGTAGCCATTGTTTTCCAAAACGCTTAAAACCAGATGCAAGTGCCCTAGAGAGACTACTTGAAGGCTAGTAAACAACATTTTAAAGGAAGTCAAGCTCAGACACCTGGATGTGCACTTGCAGCACAGTTAGATGGAGGGTCTGATGCCCTGGGAGGAAAGAGGTGACTTGCCTGTGTAGGCAAAGAGAAATCCTGATGAAAAAGGGAGCTGGGGAAAAGCTGTTGAGAGCCTTGAGGCCGAATGAGATTGGATGTGCGTGCCCAGGAGAAGTTGGGATTGTAAGGTTCCATTTGAAGCGCCCAGGAGCGGAAGTTCTTCCGTCATTTTACAGATGAAGAAACAGAAACAGTGGGGAAGAGACAAGGCCAAATTACTCGCGTTTTCATTTGTTAATTTCTTTATATTATCTCTTGTCCCCAAAAGGAATTAACCTTAAATAAAATCCTGAATAAACATGAAACAGCATGATTTCACTGTTGATAGAGAAAGGACTAGGACGCCACTTTCCTCAACTTCAGCCCTGGCATTAATTGCGCTAAATCTTGCAAATTTGTCTCTGTTGACTGTAGCTCTGTTGCTGGTTACCAGGTGGTGCGTGCGTGCTAAATCTCTTCAGCCGTGTCCGACTCCGTGCGACCCTATGGACTGTAGCCGCCCCCCCACCCCCTCACCGGCTCCTCTATCCTTGGGATTCTCCAGGCGAGAATACTGGAATGGGTTGCCATGTCCTCCTCCAGGGGATCTTCCCAACCCAGGGATCCAACCCGCATCTCTTCTGTCTCTTTCATTGGTAGGCTGGTTCTTTACCACTAGCGCCACCAGGTGGTGGACACCCTGGAATTACACACAGCTCTCCGATATCCCGCAGGGAAGCATTTCTCAGACCCGCCCCCACCCCGCAGATGTTCTCCCAACTTCCGCGTAGGCCAGGACGGGTCACGTGCTTTTTTTGCTGAGCCAGTTCAGTTCAGTCGCTCAGTCGTGTCCGACTCTTTGCGACCCCATGAATCGCAGCACGCCAGGCCTCCCTGTCCATCACCAACTCCTTTTCTGAGCCAAGTCCTGGACAAAAGGGACTGATCTGATTGATTGATACTATTTAGGGTTTACCCTTGAGCCACAAGGGAGGAATGGCCTCGGGGTGGGGGTGGGGGAGCTAGGGGAGAAGGAAGGGGGCATGGTACAGCAACGTGAGCTAAAAGAGAGGCCCAGAAAACTGCAGAATGGTTGAGAGCACAGGCTCTGGAGGGAGGGAGGCCTTCTTTCTCACCCGTGATCCACCGCTTCCTAGCTGGTTTACCCTGGGTTTCTTGCAAGGCTTGGCTAAGCAGTGGTTTCCAGGAGAGCAATAGGGTTGTTGTGGCAAAAATAAAATAATCTCGGTAAAGCAGTTGGCATAATGCTTTGTGCATAATAAGCCTTCAGTAGATGTTTACTGTTATTGTTATTGCTGTTACTGGTGTTATTAATAAAAACGACCTCAGGAAGTTCGCAAGGGGTCCACACGCAATAACCGCAGGTGTCCAAAGCAGGAGGTGACTGCTTGCCAGGGAGTGAGCCCTCCCCTCTTTCTCTATGCAAAGGAAGATGAGAGGCTCTGGAAACACCGCTTTCCTTTCTGCACAAGACTTGCCTCCATCCCCATATGGACTGCAGACCTGGACCAGGAGTTTGGGAGGGGGGCTCTGCACGGTGACTGAGCAACGCCCTGGTGGCACGAGGACCCGAAAGGTTGGGAAAAGGGCGTCGCACACCCCCTCACCTGCTTGCTCACTGGGCAAAGATGGGCACTGGGGATGCTTTAGTCCAACTTATTCACCTCGGCGTGGTGGTTGCGAACCAATGAGGTACAGCCTCCTCTTACCAGGGTTCAAGCTTAGGAATCCCGCGCACAGGGTAGTTTTTTTTTTCTGGCATTTTCACACGTTAATTCAACGACAGTTAAGAAGCAGGGCATTTTCTTAACATTCACAAGCAAATCTAACTAGATTAGCAATTCCCGGCCGCAGCCACCGCGTTCCTTTCCTAGACCCATGGGCTGGCCGGGCTCCGGCGGCGCTGCGCCGGGCCCGGGGCAGGGGGTGGGGGGCAGGTGTGTCCGGCGCGGGGCGCGGGGCGCGGGGCGCGGGGCGGGGGCGGTGCTGCGCGGGGCCCCGCCCGCAGCCGGCGGCCGAGCGGAGGCAGGCAGCGAGACGGGCTCGCCATTTGCATTCGCCCGCAGTCATTTTTATCCGCGGAGGTAATGAAGTTGTCAGCGGCGCCCCGAGTGTGGCAGAGCCTGATATTCAAATGGGCCTGCCGGGCGCAGGCCGCCCCCGCCTCCCACGCCCCGCGAGTCCCCGGATGAGAGCGGCGCCCGCTGCCCCCCTGACAGACGCCGGCTTTGACCGCCGCCCGCACCGGTAGCAGCGCCCCGGCCCGTGTCTCTTCCCTACCCCGCATCTTTGTCGCCGTCTCCCTCTCCTCGCATCCTTGCCTTTTGTGTCCCTGGGAAGACTCAGCCTCAGACCCCAGCCACGCCGCCGGGGCCGACTCCCCGTGACCCGCAAGCCCTGCTGATCCGCAAGTTTGGGGGGCGGTGTAGTGTAGCAGGGAGGCTGCCATCCTCGCCTCGGGCGCCGTCCCCGCTCCCTTCCGCGCACCCAGCAGCCCCTCGCTCTCTTCATCTCCACCTCTAAGAAAGAGGACCGGACCCTGACTATCACTTTGGCCTCAAGTCGTTCTGTCCCGTTTCTGAAAGCGTATTTGTGGTCCTTTTTAGGATTTCAAAGCCTCAGACAGATTCACCCGCAGAAGCGGCTGAGAAAAGGCGGCTCGGCAGGTTCAGCGCTGTCAGGAGAGGAGGCGCAGGCTAGACAGACCCCTGCTTTGAGACAGGTAGTCGACGGGGCGCAGTGAACGTTTAAGCTCCTGGGATGGGTGCGTTTTCCTAGGCCTGAGTAGCTGTGCGGTCCCTGGGGCAGCCGCTGGACACGTGGGGCTGTTGAGCACTTGAAATTTGGCTGGTCCAAGTGGACATGTGCTGTAAGTGTGAAATACAGTCTAGATTGTGAAGCAAAAAAAAAAAAAAAACCAAAAAAACCTATCTCAATCATTTAAAATATTGATGGGACATTGAAATGATAATGTTTTGGATATAGTGAGTGAAATAAGATATATTGTTAAAATCTATTAAGGCTGTTTCTTTTTACCTTTTAAAAATGTGACCACAAAGAACATTTACAATGACACATGTGGATCACATTATATTTCTGTTGGGCAGGTACTAGTCTAGAGGCTTAAGACCCAAGGCGCTTTCCTCTAACCCGCTCACCTTACCCCGCAGGTGCTTTGGAACAAGACAAGGGAGAGAGAGAAGGTTCTTAGTTCTTAAGCATCAAATACCCAGGCAGATAATTAGGAAGTCGTCAGTGTTATGCTGAAAACCTTGACAGCACGGAGTAGAGGCAGTGGCTTCGATTGCATAAACTGGCTCTTCCTATCCCCTTGTTCAGTGTAAAGAGAGACCCATGCTCCCACCGCAGTCGTGCCCCAGTCCCCTGGACTAACCGTCTGAGTGTGAAGTTGGGCCTCTAGGAGCCTTTTGTGCCTTTTAGGAGTTATTTGTTGCACACTAAACTTGCTGACATGCTGTTTGGAGGAGTGAATACTGTGTATGTCCTGTAGCAGCTATTTCAGAAGCATTTTTGGTGTACGCGGTTCCTCGGCATGCACAGGGCTCCCGAAGTATGCATTGACACGATGTGCTGCCAATGATGCGGACCTGGAGGAGTCCCTGAGTGTGCATTGACTGCACGCACGGCCACAGCTCCTACAGGGCTTTTATGGCGCAGCTTGCCAATGATCCGTGCATTAAAGACTCCCAGATTACACGTTGACACGATAGACTGGAGCTGTTTGGGTCTACCGAGTCGATGATCCGGAGATAATTGTGGTGTCTTATGTGCTTTCATTGAGATTGGAGTGCTCGTGGTTCTAATGGCAGAACCAGAACTGCCCCAGTTAAGCCCTGCTGTGACTCCCTGAGTCCATGGATCTTTGACCTCCTGCATCAGGACACTGTGGTGTTGCTAACGCTGATGTTTTAACTGACGCAATTGAGTTAGCATTTTCTTCCCCCCCAAGGTCCCTTTTGTAATTCAAAACCTAGATTGGAGGTCTGTGTACTGATGGTTTCATCTGGTTAATCATAAGCTAAAAACCTTGGGAGGGTCATATTTACAACAGAAAAAGTAGTTTGGAGAGAATAAGTTTGGGAGATGCGTATGAGTTTAAGAGAGTTAGTACAGAATCTGTAACCTTAGTCTTGAGAAAACCTAGTTGGTTAAACTGAAATAGATGAAACAAGGAGATGATAAGAAAGTGGAAGACACTTTTAGATATCATAGAATATATTCAATAGGAAAATAATTCAAATACTACAGAAGTGTATGAAATAAGTAACTCTCCTGTTCCTTCCTTTCTTTTATACCATCAACTGTTCAGTCTGTTAATATATTTTTGTATATTTTAGTAATTTTTATACATATAAAAATAAGTGTATCAATTCTTTGTTTACACAAGTGGGATAACACCAAACCTTACTCTCCAGTGCCTTGTATTTTAAACTAATAATATATTGAACATCTCTCCTCAGGGCATTCAGATCTGTTGCACCCTTTGTAATGATTGTGTGGGTATGGATCCAGGATATGGATTTAATTTTAAAAATTAATGCTATTTCAACCATCCTACTGCAGTGAATATCTTTATATATCTGCAGATTTGTGAAAATCTGTTCACAGGATAATTTTTCAGTAGTGGAAATGCTGGGACTAAGAGATGTACATTTAAAATGTTGATGCATACCACCAAGTTGATAACCAGATTGTCCTGCTTTATACCCCAGCTAGCAATATGTGTATGCCTATTTCTCCACTCCAGGCCAGTGTATAGCTTTTTCATGGGGACACTTGTGTGTGAGTGAATTTTCCCGCTATGTTCTCTGCACAGCTTTATGGTAAGAGTCCAGCACTGGAGGCTGTGATAAATGCAATGAAATGAGGGAAGTTAGACTACAAAGTAGGGAGTCTCGTTAATCAAGATAAAAAACGATGGCTCCACAGAACACCCTGAGATCGGTTGAATTTTGGTAATAGCTTGTCAACACGGGAGAATTGGAATTAGATCACATTAATTCATCATTCAGCAGATATTTGTTAAGTTATAAATGAATTCTCCACTGGATTGTAAGCCCTTTGAGAGGAAAACCTTTGTCTTTTTAATCTCTGTGGCTCGAACGGAATTATGGAAATTATGGACTGGGGCTTGACCTAAAGTGTTTTCTTTTAATTGTCGTTGTTGATTTGATTGTTTTAACATGGCCAGTTATTGTTCACCATATACCTCGCTCTGCCTGAAGCTGGATTTTCAAGATGGCTGACAGTCATTCATTGTTCCTCAGCTCACAGTGGGAGAGACAGGGGATGGAAACCAGTCTGAAAATTCCACAGTATGGGCAAAGTGAACATAAGCAACTAACGGTGATGGAGTAAATAATTTCCCTGAAGTCTGATATTTCAGCTGGAAGATGGTTCGGGAATGGTTTCCAGCCTCACAAGGAAGGACTTCTAGACAGAGGAAGTCACAATAAAGGGATGGAACTTTGGAGGAATGCTGGTGTGACCCGCTCACAGGGAATGTGTTGGGAGGAAGGGAACTTGAAGGGGAGGCACCGCCTGCTTACAAGGAGGCATTGAGTGCCCGTGCTGGAACATTAAGGGAGTGACATATAAGGAAGGAGTGGGCTTCTCATTCAGGCTCCCTCTCTTGATTGTTGTGGGGTATTTGAAAGTCCTGAGAATCCTGTAGCTTTTAAGTGCCTCATTTCTAAGATGGAACATACAGACTAGGTAATTTCTAATATTTTTATCACCTCTAAAATTCAGTGGCCTTTGAGCATAGGACTTGAACTTGCCTGCAAGGACTTTTATTTTCTGTTTTGTGTGTCAAGGAGCACTGCATGATATCTTGGGGTATTCCTTTAAGATGGTAGTAAATGCTGGCTATAATTTGCTGGAACTAACTACCATGGACACTTATCATAATCCCAAAGTCTGCATACACGTTTTGCCCCAACTCCAACAAAGCGATGCTAATGAGAATGAAGAAAAAATCCAAAACAATAGCAGACAGTGTAAATCTTTTGATAATTTACTCTTCATAAGCAACTAAATCCTATCTTCACTGAAAATTGAATAGACACGACTAGAGTGGTTTTCCTGAGAAATATTGCAGAGTTGAATGTCAAGTGTCCTGTTTCTTGGAATACATATGCTGAATGAATTTCATTGGGTTTGATAAGCATGCCATCCATGGCCTTGTCTGGGGCAGAGGGGAGCGTTTTGATTGAGACAATGTCTAAGGACAGAGAGAACCCTGTGGCCTATTGATTAGAGACCTTCCTAAAAGCTGACAACTTGAGAATTATTACCCAGCCCATCTTGTCCCAAAGCATGAGAGACTTGCTTAAAGTCTGTGCTGACTTCCTGATGAACTTTATGTAATTCCCCCAATTTTTAGGCTCAGGGTTTTCCAAGTTGTATTGGAGGCTATCTAGAAGCAAAATAAACACAAGCAGACTGCTTGGGACCAAACAAAACACATGTCATGATAACAATTCTTATGACTAATGAGTCGTCTAAGATATGGGAATTTGGTGAAATTATTGAATTATTGAAGAAGGATGCTTTGCCATTCCTGTTGGTCACAGCTCAGAGTCTTTAATTATACTAATCAAATGGGAGATCCGAGGGGATTTGCTGAAACCTCACAGAGTGAAGCCATCTACTGCACACATTGATATTGGGGATTTCCAAAATAGCTTCCTATGAGATCATCTTGTATGTGAAAGCCACGGTAATGACTTCCAAGGGAGACCCCTGATGGATCCCAGCTTGATATTTTTTTTGTGGGGGGCATGGAGCAAGGTCTGGACACAGAGAAAATTTTTAATTTTCTCAGAAATCAAGCAGCAGTACAAGGTTGTTGAGAGATGAAGAGGGATTTTTTTACTGCCTGGGTGAGCAGGTGCCAGTCCCAAATCATTATCAGGACTTTCAGTTCAGTTCAGTTCAGTTGCTCAGTCGTGTCCGACTCTTTGCGACCCCATGGACTGCAGCATGCCAGGTCTCACTGTCCATCACCAACTCCTGGAGATTACTCAAACTCATGTCCATTGAGTTGGTGATGCCATCCAACCATCTCATCCTCTGTCCCATTCTCCTCCTGTCTTCAGTTTTTCCCAGCATTAGGGTCTTTACAAATGAGTCAGCTCTTCAAATCAGGTGGCCAAAGTATTGGAGTTTCAGCCTCAGCATCAGTCCTTCCAATGAATATTTAGGACTGATTTCCTTTAGGATTGACTGGTTGGATCTCCTTGCTGTCCAAGGGACTCTCAAGTCTTCTCCAACACCACAGTTCAAAAGCATCAATTCTTCAGCACTCAGCTTTCTTTATAGTCCAACTCTCACATCATGCATGGCTACTGGAAAAACCATAGCTTTGACTAGATGGACCTTTATTGGTAAAGTAATGTCTCTGCTTTTTAATATGCTGTCTAGGTT